CACACACACGTGTGTGTGCACAGATCCATGCCCACACAAATGCTCATACACAAACACACACAGCAAGCATAGGGAGCTATTTCCAACATCTGAGAGCAAAAGGATTTAAATCCTGTCCACTGCTACTTATGTACCTTTCAAACCTCAGTTTCAGCAAGTCTAGAAGATAGAATGGGGGTTCTATCTATACATACAACTGTCTGTCTCTATAAATGCCTAGAAAAATGTCTGATATTTATAATAGGGTTTCCCCAAAGCTGGCAAGAATCATTTCTGGCTGGGGGATGCAGGGTGGAAGTTCCCATCTCTTCTTTGCCCGGTCCCATCTCTTTAGTATTTACACATTGGATGTGTGTCATTTCTACAATGGTGAAGAAACCCTGGAGAGAAATATTAGTTAAGAGCCTGATCCCCAGAAAGGCTACTTAAGTGCTCTCAAAGTGGCACTCACCCTCTGGGCCACCTCCTACCTGCTCCTTCCCAGGACTCAGCCTTTGGTCCTTTCCTGGGAAGTGAAGTCTTAGTAGGATTTGATTTCCCTCTCAGCTCTCACCATCCTGGATAAGGGGGCTTCCCTGGGACACCTCTCAGCCCTGTTCTTCCCATTCCTGCCAGGCTAGCAAAGAGCGTCTAGTCATTCCTGGATCTTTCCATTTAATAAAGATTTGCGGGTCCTTTCCACACCCCGGGCCCTGTGCTGGGCTGAGGGATAGATGGATGAGTAATACTCCTTTCCAGGGTGCACATTCTCTGGGGAAAGGAGGTAGGTGGGCAGAGCAGCTAAACACTGGCCCTGTCAGTGCTGGACCCAGAAGACCGGGAAAGCCAGAACTGGGCTTCAGCTCTGCTTATTTCTGCCCACAGATGGTGGGACAAGAGTCCCCTGCAGGAGACACACCCTGAGAAGGTCGTCTGTTTCCAGCAAGTTGAGTGTCCTGAAGAAGGGTGATATGGGGAGTGGGTTTTAGCCTGGGAGGGCCTTTGGAATCTGGGGTCTCAGAGGGCCCACCATGAGGTACCTCATGGCACAGGTGGGACAACCCTCTCTGCCAAGGCTGGGCATGGGGCTGGAGGAGCTTAGGCCTGTCACAGTGCACCAGACAGATGAGCTCTGCACACGTGTCTGTGGTGTCGGACACAGCTTGTATCGAGGACTTGCCCTTCACAAGCAGCCTCTGGGAAAGCATCTGGTTAGCTGATCAGGCAGACTCAGCTCTACTAGTTCTCTGCCAACTTCACCGGATTTACAGCTTCTGCTGACCTGATAACCACTTCTTGCTGTCTTTGGTGGCTTGCTGCTTGCAGCCTCCAAGCTTCTGTCCCCACCCTACTCCTACTATAACCACGACACATACAGAAATTAAAGTAATTCCTGCTGAGTTTCAGGCTGCTTCTAGAGAAGGGACCCAGGATGGAGACTGGAGGTGGCAGCTTTCAGATGGTGGCCTGGGGTGCCAGTGAGGGAAGGCTCAGAGAGGTGGCTTCACTATGCCTCTGAGCCAAACAGAAATGCTGCTTCAGACCTTTGTTTCTGACTTGACTTCTGAATGGGGTAGCGGTTCAGACAGGGACCAGAGCTAACGAGCAAGCACTGTGGAGAGAGAGCACAGCAGAGGCTTTCTTGCCCCTGGGCCCTCTCTGGTTCTGGTAAGGCCTTCTAGGAGGGGGAGAGTGAGCAGGAGAAATGAACCTCCATCTCCTTTTACATTACTTACACGTATCACACCCATGGGACATCAATGTTGTAGAGAGTGACCTCCGAGAAAAAGTGACATACTTGGAAACCAGCCTTTTCGTGGTCATGCTGGGAGCTCCAGACTGGGCTCTACAGCCCAGCGACACCCTGGGGTCCCACAACAGTACCCTGGGCCATTCTGGAAGGCAGACAGTGAGAGGGACGGCCAGCTGGGGACAGAGGGAGGACTCACTGGTGAAGGTGATATTGAAGCCCCTCTTGCCCGTGGAGTGGTCAGTCTGGAACTCAAGACGGGCCACGTGGCCGCTGCTTGTGATGGAGGAGGGGAGCTGGTTTCCCGAGAAGGTGCCCAGGACTGGGGCCTCAGCAGTGGCTCCATCCTTGATGACCAGGAAATCAAACTGAGGCTCCACATCAATGTCATTGAAGGCCAGGTGGACGCGGCTCTCAGGCCTGGCCAGGATGAGCCAGACGCAATGGAGGTGGTTGCCGTAGTCCTCTGGGTAATTGGGAGACAGGACGACCCCGGATGGGCTGGTGAAATTGAAGAAGCAGGAAACTGCAAGAGAAGAGCAGGGGAGGTCAATGAGCGTCCCCAACATTCTGCGGGGACACTGAGGGCTGGCGGGGGAACTTCTTAGTCTAAAGAGCAACAGGAAGAAAGGGCAGCACAAGGGCTTGGCTGGGTTGTAGGCGGGGCCATGCTGGGCTCCATGCTGGCCTTAGTACTGGGGCGCCTTTGGCGAAGGGTGGACGTGGCGGAGCTGGTCTGCCCTTCGCCCCTCTCTTCTGGTCTGCATGCTCACCCAGGCAGTGTCTGCATGCTCTGGGCCCTGGGGGCGGGGGCGTGGGGAAACCCATTGTTCATGCCTGAGCACAGTCACAGCTCCCCACCTCTCCTAGCTTGGTTTGCATCAGGAGGAAAGGACACTGCTTAATGACACGGTGGTGGTAAATCTCCAGGGGGCAATCACGGGGGAGACAGTCCAGGTTCATTTCTCTCCTTAAAATGTTTTTGATGGGGAAATGACAGGTGTGCCAAGGGCATTCTGACAACCCCACCCTACCCCACCATACCGAGGAGGTCTGGGAACACCATCCTTTAGAGACTGAAGCTTCTAAGGAAACTGGAGGAGGGAGGTGACAGCATCTCACTGGGATCCCCCGTCCTGTGACTGTGCCCTCCTTCATTCACCCTAAGGATCCAACCTTCTGAAAATTCCTTATTTTAAACCCTTTTTGTGATAATTCCTAACAGACCTTGCAACAAGGACGAGGCAAGAAAAGTGCTGTACATGGAAAAACAAATACTAAACCGAAGTTAAAAAGGAAAATAATAGAATGAAACAAATAATCGCAGCAACGACAATAAGGGAAAAATAGAAAAATGTCACTATTAAGCTAGAGCACTTAAAATTATCTAAGAACGCCATCAAGATGAGGCTGAGAGGATTCATATGAGAAAAAATAGAATCAATATGATAACACAGTCCATTTTACTAGGAAAAAATAAAGAAAAACTATAAAACTCAAATAGTGGAGACTTTATGGAAACTCACACATGCCTCTATTGCCAGTTGTGGAGTAAAGTGGATATAAGAGTTCTTAACAAGAGCCACAAAACTATTAAAATATTTTGACTCAGTAATCTCTAAGAGTTAATTTATGGGCTATAACTGGATTATAGCTTTCATATGAAAGCTATAAATTAGTTTCATAGTAGGGCTGAGTACATTGGATACTTTTTCTTCCATTCTTGAGATACTTTGCTAAGAAGAATA